GACTATAAATACTTCATAATTAGTGGTATTATCGGCAAGTAATGATAATACATCGATTATATACTATTATTACTACATTTTTTTATGTTAATATAATAGGCAAAATTGATCGGCAGATTATTTTGACTCATTCTGATACTTCACTGAGGGTTTTCATAACTGGATTTGGTGCAACCGGCCCAGGATATAATAAAACGCATTCTATTCATCTGTCTATTTCAATGAAAATATTCTAATCGTATGAAATAAATGATTCACTCATCCTACGAAATCCTCTGTGAGGATCAAATAAACGATTCATTAGATCCAAATGAAGAATTCAGAAGCGAAGTGGTAAAACGGTACAAGTCAATTTTGACTATTGACCCACGGAGAGAAATATTCACGAAAAATTACGGAACATTTCACGTAATCCGCAAGCGAGAATCGTTTTCAAGGAATTTCTATAGGAATATAAGAGAATAAATCTGAAACATTCAGTAAATTTTCGGGTCTGTCACCGAAAAAATACAAAAAAGTCACGTAATTTTTCTGGAAGTTGTAAAATCTAACAGAAACTTCAAGACTTATTATGCGTCAGAACATGAAAATTCTTGGATGTTTAAGAATTTTTACGAAAAGTTCTCGAAAAATTACGGAACGTGTTGTTAAAATCTCCCTCTTACGGTGACTCATGGCTAGCCGTAAGACGTCGGACGGATGAGTAATTTTTACGGAACAGATCGTAGAATTTACGTGACGATTAACACTTTTTATTGAATTTTACTTCGATCCCAGATTACGTTTCGAAACTTAATTTTGACGTCTTTTTTCTGGTCATTTTTATTAAATATTTCTCTCGGTGCCCGTTTTCAATGAATATCTCGGAATCTGAGGGAGATAGTAACATTTTTGTTATAACTTTGTTTGAGATGAGGATCTAATTGTAAGGTGGATGTGGGAGATGTTGTTTCAGGATAGGCCGAAAATTGATTAAAGCACTGATTTATAAAACGTCACTATATTTTAGTGGAATCGAACCACTTCGTTAACCGTAAAATTTACACCTTGGTTTAAACTAGTTTGTTGAGCGTCTCAAATTATTAATACAGAGGTTGATGTACTGAATTGTTAAATAACCGTTAAATGTCCTTGATAATTTTCTCTGATAATTCACTGAATTTGAGAAGGTGATGTACTTTCACATAATGCGTCGGTGATGTACTTTGAACGACACGTTGATTCTACAAAGGCTGATGAGGCTGTCTATAGGACCGACTGTTTGACTGATAGATATATAGCTACATTTTGAACAAACCGTTTTTGTAGAGCCAATTGAGAGCTATGACGAATGTAATTACAACATTTTTGTTTATCTCCCTTAGATTCCGAAATATTTTTCAAAAACAACTGGAATATGAGTCGTCTTAAACCGTTTTAGCACTTCGCGACTGAATTAGTACATATTATTAAATTCGTGCATCCAGCTGTCCAAATAAGCCTCATTGTTGCGACATATAATTTCGATCGTGTCATTCACCGAAAACTTGATGAAAATTTAATGACAATCAGAATTTCAACAGGGGTCTCTCTTTGCCGCGGGGTCTCAATTTGCGCCGCAGTCTCATTTTCCCTGGATATCTCCTAATAGAATTCCGTTAATTACGTGATTTTCTGGGCAATCTCATGTCAGGCCTTTAGTCTGTGTACACATATGTTGCCATGAATGTTCTATTGACATTCATCAATAGAATATCGTATATATAGGAGACGGTCTACAACCGGCCTTTTACATTCAATTACGTAGTTTTGCACCACGTATTCTGTGCCGAGTGAGGACCTTTGCGGGTTTCTTGCTGTATCGAAGAATCATCATGTCACATATTGTCTGGATCCTTATGATCGTTGGTGTCCTAGCTTACACTGAGGGTAAGGACCAATTCTCAGAACAACATCCTAAGCCTGAGGCACTTTCTTCAATCGAGAATCTTATCCTAGCACGATGAGGGAGGAAACAACTGAGTATCACAATAGTATATTTCGTAACGAGTGCAAAAAACATTTTTTCACGAGTTACGAACAATATTTTTCATCACAATGTGGCGGAAATTGGACTTTTAGACACGCGGGGCGTGCCGAAAAGTTCACTTTTCGTCACAGCGTGATGAAAAAATAATTCCTTGAGCTATGGAAATGGCATCAATATTCAATTAATCGAACTAGAATTAGATTAATTGAAAAGACGATATTCTCGAAACGATAAGGGTTTAAAATAAGATGGCATTATTTCATCATTTCAAACTCTCGAGTATGGCGTCCATGCCACATACGGTCCCGAGACATTGTCTTATCGGCCCGCGTCCATATTGACATATGGACTTGGAATTGAGGGTTAATTCAATTGACACATGGACCCCGGCCGATAAGACAATGTCTCGGGACCCTTTCGGTGATTAATAAACATTCATTATCTTTCGTACTATTATAGATATCGAAATTCTAAAAATTTTCCGATGAAATCGATAAAATAAAAAATTATCAACACAATGAGATTCGATTTTTTTCAAGTTATTTTTAATGTTTTTCTTCAATACATAAACATTACGATTACAGGACTCTATACATTCCTTTATCGAATGGCGCAAACGAAATTTCTATTCAATGAATTGCCGATTTGTTATTAACAAATTTCCGGCAATCGTCGATCTTGGCAACCGTTTGTAATATCCAACTGAGATTGGTATTAAAAATTCCAGAAAAATCTGTATAAAAGAATACTGTAATTGAACAATTTTTCTGTGAAAGTTCAAGATTATCATTAAATTTTAGCTCATAATTTTTTGATCATCAGTATAGAAGTTGTCAGGTATTGGTTGTTAAACTCATTGCGATTGAGAACAAGTAGCGGTAATATTTCAAGAATACCTGGAGATTTCCCTTGAATGTCTTCATCATTCGTTCGATACGAAGGGTCCTGATTCGTGATTCAACGGGTGGAAGCATTTAGCATTTTTAGTCATTTCGTTATGTCCTAACACGGAAAAAACGGTTTCTTGAGCCAAGAAATTTTCACTTACCGACGTCGGTGGCCGAGTGGATTAGACGCAAGTCTAGTGTGCGAAAGGTTGTGAGTTCGATTCCCCGTGGCATCGAATTTTTCAACGGAAGGCTCCGGCGAGCGGGAGGTTGCTAATAGAGGAAACCGCCTGTACTGGCATGGGTTTTCTGTGGTTTCCCCATGTTATTTCTATGTTCTATAGGAGTGCGAATGCGGTCCAGTGTAGAATCCACAGCCGCATGCATAGGGTTGGATAGATTGCCGAATGGGACCCGAAAAGGGACTCGGAGGCCATTAAAAAAAAAAAAAAAAA